TGGGGGGGGGGGGGAGTGAGAAAATAATCAAGTTGTTGCCCATAAGTGTACAGGATTTTTACTCCCCTCCTTTCAATTTTTACCCCCTTTTTGTGTATATTTGGGTTGATTTAGCATATAACTCAATCATGTTCTTGGTTATGTGGCTTATAAATATGCCTCATTCTGTTGGATTATCTTTACTAATTACAACAATAACAACATACTCCATGTAACCCTATAAGTGGGGTCTGAGGAGGGTGGTGTGTGTACTCATCTTTACTCGCAAGATATTTATTCATCTTTCATTTTATTTAATGTTTGTATGCAAATTATGTAAAAATTCACAAACAACCACCTTTTAGTCCATGGCTCCATGCAATTGCAAAGTAGTTGTGGTTATGGAGTTTTAATTTTTAACCACAAAATTTAGTGAGTGGTATCAAATCTTTTTACGGATTGCTTCTTTCGCCTTTTTCACTGTCAAAGTGCCTATGATACCAATTCATATTTGGTTACTCTTGGTTGTCCCCCTTTTTTGGTTGAGGCTTGACATTTGATTCTACTTGCCTCTACTTTTCATGTCAAGCGTACAAAATCTAGGATAGTGAGATTTACTTCTAAAGATACGCCATGATTATTTTTTGAAAACATGATTGAAAAGTGGCGACCAATAGACGTTATTTCATCTTTATCAATTAGTTCTCGTATTTATGGAGTCTTATACATGCAAACTGGTTTGAACATCACCGTTACGAAAAGGAGGTATGCTGCTCTCAGAATATTTAGGTTGTTAGGATAGGATTTTGGTTGTTTGTGAGTTTTCTGCAAAACCTATTTTGAATTCACATGAAAAAATTAGTTGGTTGCAAAAAGCCAAGAAAGATGCTTTTGATGACAAAATAAAACTGAAAACATTGTTTTTATTGTTGTCCTTTTCATTGATTTCATTTAAAAGTACTGAAAATATTAAATTAAGGAAAAACATAAAAGGGTGGTCCTGATGATTGCTGGTTGGGCTATCAATTCATTAAATTGTCTGTGTGAATATATTATCTTTCCCGTATTGGAGTCTCGACTAAATTCAGGTCGCACTGCATGACTCATTTAGAGGTGGCGCTTCCAACAAGATTTTCTTCACAGTCAGGGCTCGAACTCGAAATCTCTGATTAAGGGTGAAACAGTCTCATCACTGCACAATAACCCAAGTTGATAATATACTGTCTTTATATGACAATTTCGTTTCTATTATAGTTTGGAAAAATTGAAACATAGCAACATTTTGGTTTCAAAATATAGCGGAATACATTGTATCTATATGCAAATTAATAGTAAAATACACTGTCTTTGTGCACATAATAAGTATATCTGCGTGTATATAATATTCTTGTAGTAGAATGGAACGTATTTGGGTGTGTAACAACAATGAAATATATTATGTCCGTGCACATAATAAGTGTATCCACGTGTATATAATATCTTTTTCACACATACATATTATAAAACCTCAACTATCGCTAATATGTAATTTTTTTAAAAATTATAACAGATAATAAAAAGACTGAATTATTTTTTTATACATATATATGATATATTATAATCTTAAAGGCTCTTTACATAATTTCTGACTCCGCTATTGCTTACAATATAATATTAATTTAACCATGTGAGCGTTGGTTCATGTCTTTGTCTTCTTAAAATAATTTTTGCCAAATGGATGTATTAAACATATACAGATGAATGCATCTAAATTTTTGTGTTTGGTCGTTTGTTATTTATTTGAGATATAATAACAAATATGTTGAAAAGTAAAACTTTATGTTTTTATTTTTATTTTTATTTTCTAATTTAATTTCCATTGGATTGTTGTTAAAAGAATCTATTTGGTTAAATATAGTTCAAAGTTGTACCTACCTCATCTACCCAAATAGGAAAAATACAAGAGGGAATATAAATAATAGAAGACCAAGTCCCCACACAATAATTAATGGTATTTTCTTTTTTCTGATTTTGTCTTTTTCATGGTTAAGGAAATAAAAAAAATTCTATATTGACGATATTTATTAGTTGAAATATATATTATTATTTTTACTTATAGAGAAATCAGAATTTTCAATGTGAATGTCAAAATATAAAAATGTAAATTTGAATATCATGTCAAGAGGATTCAAACATATCGTATATATACATAAAAAAAAAACTTGTTTAACCTTAAATGAATTTATGTAGAGTAACATGATCGGTAAAGATTTTATATAGTCAATTAGTGATGGAGTTATAATTTTCATTTCCCCCTTGTGTTATTAGTCAAGTTGGCACTTTTTGTAGGTGTTATTTAGACTTTTCGAGATTTATATGTCAGGAGAAAATATTACGAACTTCTAATATTTTTTATTTTATTTTATCTTTTCTATAATATTAATTTGAGATGAATTTATATGAAGTACTAACATAATCAATAAGGATTCATGTAACTCATCAGTAGCAAAGAGAGTCAAAATAAAAAGAAGTAAACACATGAAGAAGTCCAAATGATTCAACGTCTATTTATCCAAACTTTGTTTTAGTACATTGGTATAGCTGATTCTAATTTGCTCGTGAGTTGGGACTGAGGCGTAGTTGTTACTATTATTATATAAAAATAGTCTTTTCCAATTATATACTAAGTCAAAATGAGCATCTGGACTTCCACAAGTATATATGGTCTTTCTTAGCGTAATATTAACGTTGTTTCCTCTTTTTGATTTTCTAGTCTTTCAAGTGTTTTCTACAAAGACCATAGACTTGGACTTATAAGAGTTTAATCTTTGGTTATTTAACTTGTGTTAAATTGAAGAAATATCATCTACTTTTTTTTTTTTTACAAAATATGGCTCCTGGTGGTGGTGTTAGTAGTTGCAAAGAACTTGTAGAATCATGGCAAAAAAATTCAAGATTTGATACAACAAAGACACATGATGAGCTTGAGAAAAGTATTACATGTATTGGTGAAAAGTTTCAAAAGTGTTCAATCCATGAGTTGCTTGAGTGTCCAATTTGTAAAAGGTCCATGTATCCTCCATTTTACCAGGTAAATACAACTCCTTCTATTTATTTTTATGATAGTGGTCCGGGCTAGGTTTCGTGTACCTCGTCTAATTTCATGGAATACTTGTCACCTCCTATCAGCAATAGGTACCACGTAACTCTGTCCACCAAGGCTAGGATAGATGATAAGAATCCTATTGTTGTTGTTAGTTTACATATGATGTAACTGGTTAACTATGTTGCTCGTACTTTTAAAAAATATTGTCTTTTAAAGGATCAAACATAGGTGTGACAATTTTTTTTTAATTTGGAGAGTGAACAACATAACTGACAATAAATTCTTTATAGTGTTATTTTCTTAATGGTGGTGGTGGTGTTCGGGCCGGGCCGTCTCTCTATTGTGTTGGCCCGTAGTTTAGGTACCTTTGGAAGGTAGGGACAACATATACACTACCCTTTACTCCGTAGGACCTTCTCATCAGTTGTAGGGTTTAATAATCCGAAATTAAAAGGCCTCATCACTAAAAGCCCAGCTCGCGAGGCGCCCCTCTCACTTTCGGGTTCCAAAACCTCGTCTCGCTCTTGTGACATGCTATGTTTCCCCTCTCTATTCCTAAATAAAGGTTGATTGTCACATGTCAGTTTGTGGATCACGTTATTGTGTACACCTCGACTATTCCATCAAATACTAACCACCAGCACATATATCGAGTAACTCTACCTTTCATTCTTTATTTGATTCTTTTCATCTCACATTCAGTATATACACAATCTTTGTAGTGTCCAAATGGTCATACACTATGCACAAACTGCAAAATTGAAGCACAAAATTGCTGTCCAACTTGCCAAGTTGAACTTGGAAACATAAGGTGTTTAGCCTTAGAGAAAGTAGCAGAGTCACTGGAATTGCCCTGCAGATATCAAAATCTTGGCTGTCACAAAATATTACCTTACCATCGAAAGCTCAAACACGAAAGACGTTGCAAATTTAGGCCTTACCACTGTCCTTACGCGGGATCAGAATGCTCGATAACAGGGGACATTCCAACACTCATGTTGCATCTCAAGGAGGATCACAAAGTTGATATGCATACAGGATGCACGTTCAATCATCGATACGTTAAATCAAATGCACAACAAGTTGACAATGCAATATGGATGCTAACAGTAAGTTGAAACAGAGTATTTTCTTTTGTTTTTACCAAATTTTCTGTCCTAAATAAGGCTCAATGTTCCTCAAATTGATCTCTTAGTTGTTGAAAAGCGTTGCCTAAATAAGGAAGTACTCGAAAATGGACTTTTTTGAGTCCATTTTTTGTTGGATAGACGGATTCACATCTCTTATGTTATGGTTCTCTGATTGTACACTAACATATTTCAATCAAATGCAGGTTTTCGACTGTTTTGGAAGGCAATTCGTCTTACATTTTGAGGCGTTTTCACTAGGTATGACACCGGTATACATAGCATTTCTACGATTCATGGGAGAGGACAACGAGGCGAAAATGTTCAAC